ACCGCGACGTCCATGCACGACGAACCACCCACGACGACGATCGACGATACTCCTTCTGTTTCCTCTCCTCCACGACGACGACGATCCCACTCGTTAACAGAGGCCCCAGGGAGCTTCCAGGAGGCCCCCACATTGCTAAAATGCCCCAATCGACCTTTCAGTAGCGCCCGAGGGGACGGTGCTGGCTGGGCCTCCGTCTATAGCCAACACCCCCACAGTCACCGTACTCGACGATTAACATACTCTGGCGCCCTCGGGGCCACAGAAAACCAATTTAGCCACACGTAGGCTTTCTCTCGGGTCGGCGGCGGCGATGTCGCCGTGCGACGTCAACGTTGGAGGCGAGGTCGACGTTGGCATTGTCGGCATTGACTTTGTCGCCGACGACGGCGGCGACGGCGTGGACGTTGAACTCGTCGTCGTTGGCTTCGGCGACGTCGCCGTCGATGGCCGATCGGCCGTCGCCACCGCCGCCGACGGCGCCGTCGCCGTCGTCGATTGGCGGCAGCGGGCGCCGGCCGCGGCATCGATCGGCGGCGGTGGGCGGCTGGCGCCTCCCGGGCGAGGGCGCCACCGTCCGGAACCAGAGGCGCCCGGCGAGGCGTCGGGCGTGGCCTCCGCAGCGCCGAGCGTCGGCCAGGGCGGCCGCCGCCCGGCGGCGGCGGCGGACGCCGGCGACGGCCGCCGACGAGGACGGCGACGGCTCCAGGAACGGCGGACCGCGGCGGACTGCGGCGGCGACGAGGACGACCACGACCCGCTGTCCCACCCGAGCGACGAAAAGAAACGGATCTTCCGCGAGATGGCGCAGCGAGCTTGCGCGGTGGCCTACGCGGGCCGCCAGGGCGGCAGTCCACACTGGAGGCGAGAGCGCTCGCGCGTGACCTTGCGCGGAAACCTTACGCGCCAACGTCGGCGAAGACGGCCCTGCTGCTCTGCGACGCCGGGCCATCGGAGGTTTGGGAAAAACACCCAAGGAAGGGGCAATTGCGTCCGGCAAAACTTTGCAATTACTGAGTATGGGCGCCACTCTCCTCTCTCCCCCGAAAGCGGCCGAAGAGCACCCCGCCCCTCCATGATTTGGTCTTTCCATTTTTTTTGTCAATTGGAGCGTTTTCGTAGTACTCCAGTTTGAACGAGAAACTTCGACGCCTGTCCCCAATGCAACGATGAAATACCGACATCGGCGCTGGTAGCGCCAGTGCTGTCGGCGGGGAGGTGCTTGAGCAGAAAAGGGGGCGTTTTGACTTGGAGTGGCGCCAAGAGGTGAAGCGAGGATGGAGGATGGAGGATGGGAGCGGAGGTACGGGCGACAGAAGGAAGCAGAAGCAGCTCCATAATAAGTGGGAAGCTAGGAGACGAGAGGTAGCATAGAGGATGGAAAAGGAAACGGGCCATCAACACAAAAACCAGGATCCGTAGTACGCAGAGAGGAATTCGTAGTTCGAAACCATGGGCTTCAAAAACCCGTATGACAGTTGCACAAAACACCGCGCAGTACTGATACCGGGCGAACCGAATTGTGCCCCAAATTTTCGCCAGAAAGATGCATATCCGCCTTCCCGCGCGCTGAGAGGAAGAGGCTAAACTGCCGGTTAAAACATGACATGGGAATGAGTCTGCCGACCCCCGAGAGGGAGTCTAACGGCGAGCCGCTGTCATGCACAGCGCAAGCTCGTGACTACCAGATCGTGCAGGCCCGCATCCTGGAATGGCTTCTGGTCGTTGTGCTGGGGCGGGTGTCTAAGCTTTTCGCACCAAAAACGGTGATGCCGCTGCAACCTTGGCCTCATTTTAGGATCGGCGCTTCGCTCCCGTCGTTCAGAATGGCACTTTCGCCCAAGCACGGGCCACTCACAAGGATCCGAATCATTCGTCGCTGTCCTCCTCGCTCCCACCGCTCCAGTTGCCGCTGCTGCTGATCCTGGTCCTCCTCCTTCTCATTCGTCACCCTCCTCCTTTTCCTCCTGCCTTCCTCCTGCTCACCTGCTCATCCGCCACCTCCTCCTCCTCCTCCTCCTCCTCCTCCTCCTCCTCCTCCTCCTCCTCCCCGTCCTCCTGTGTACGCAGGCTCCCCTTTTCAAGTACGCATAGCAATATGGGGTGAGTTCCAGGTCCGCTATGCTGCACGTCGACAGATAGAGAAGAAATCAGCGCTATGGGATGGGATGGGTGGGAGGAGCAGGATGTCAGATATGGCGCGAGCGCACCGAGCCTGACACCCCCCTGTCCTGATCCCCCCCCTTTCGTCCGGCCGCCCGGAGCTTCCCAGGCCAAATCATTGATTTTCTATTGGTTTTTGAAGGATTTGGGCATTTGCTTCTTCTCGGCATTCCGACGCCTCAAGATGGCCCAAGAGGCCCCCGAGATCGCCCAAGAGGTCTCCAAGATGGCCCCATGACGGTCCAAAAGGCCCCCACCCCAAGACGGCCCCCAGAGGGCCCCAAAACAGCCCAAGAGGCCTCCAAGACACCCAAGATGGCCTCGAAGGACCCCTGATATGCCCCAAGAAGGCCCGAAGATGACTCAGACAGGCCCCCAAGACTGCTTCCGACGGCGTCAGACAAGCCAGGAACGCCCCAAGACGGCCAAAGAGGCCCCCAAGAAGCCCCCAAAGGCCCCCAAAAACCCTCCAAGAGGCCCCCAGGAAGCTCCCAGGAGGCCCAAAGAGTGCCCCAAGAAGCGCCCAAGAGGCCTCCTCCTCCTCCTCTTTTTTCCCCATCCTCCCCCTCCTCCTCTTTTTGCTCCCCCATGCGTTCCCCGAAGTCTTTCCAAACCGACTCGGTGAACAACTGGCCCAATAGCTTGGCCAAGCTCTGGCCCAGCTGTCGACCACAGAGGCGCTTCCAGAGGGGCAGGGGGCGGCGGTGATTCGCCGTAGGCGTCTTCGATCCGCCACCCCCTGTTGATTCATCACAAGGGTGCCTGGCGTGCTGGATGATCTCGGGTTTGGTTGTGGTTCTTTTGAGAACTCCCCCTGGGGCTCCGGCGCGTCCCGCGGGGGTGCCGGGAGGGAACTCCAGGCCCGCAGACGACCTCAACGTCCGCAACAAATTCAGAAAGACGGCTCAAGATGGCCTAAAAGACGGCCAAGATGGCCTTCAAGCTCGCCCAAGATGGTCCAAGACGGCCTCCCAGACGGCCCAAGAGGGTCCCAGATACGTCCAAGTTCGCCCAAGAAGCCTCCAAGACGGCCCGAGAGGCCCCCAAGAGGTCCTCCAGGAGGGCCCGAAGAGGCCAAAATCGTGGATTTTCCTTGGGGTTTTCAAGGATGTTGGCATTTGCTTCTTCTCGGCATTCCGACGGCTCAAGACGGCCCAAGAGGCCCCCAAGATCGCCCCAAGATCGTCCACGAGGCCTCCAAGATGGCCCCATGAGGGCCAAAAAGGCCCCCAAGACGGCCCCAAGAGGGCCCGAAGAGGCCTCCAAGACGGCCAAGATGGCGTCCAAGACGGCTCAGATTGCCTGAAGATGCATCCAAGATGGCCCAAGACGCACCGAAGACGGCCTAAGATGACCTCAAGATGGCCCAAGACGGCGCAAGAGGCCCCCAAGAGGCCTCCAAGACGGGCCAAGAGCCCTCCAAGAGGTCCTCCAGGAGGGCCCGAAGAGGCAAAAATCCGCCGGCCCTCTTGTGGGGCCACCAGGCTGTAGGGCGAAGGTTCGCAGTTTCCTGTGCCAGTTGCAGCTTCCAGTTTCCATTGTTACAGTTCTGCTTCTTGCTGCTTACTGTTCCTTGTTGATGGACCGCGCGAGGGGTGGAGGCCCAAAACAGGCATTTCTACCACGCCCTGAGCGTGTGCTCTGAATTGCTGGGGTGGGTAAGAATTAACACCCCTCACGCAGATCGTCAGGATTTGCCACATTTCTAAAATTCGATGGCACCCCTCACGCAGATCGGCGGGGTCAGGGTCCAAAAACACATGAGATTTGCCACATGTCTAAAAGTCGACGGCACCCCTCACGCAGATCGGCGGGGTCAGGGTCCAAAAACACATGAGATTTGCCACATTTCTGACATTCGGTGGCACCTCTCATGCAGATCGGCGGGGTTCGGGTGCAAAAACATAAAAGATTTGCCACATTTCTAAAATTCGATGGCACCCCTCACGCAGATCGGCGGGGTCAGGGTCCAAAACACACATGGTTTTGCCACATGTCTAAAAGTCGGCGGCACCCCTCACGCAGATCGGCAGGGTAAGGGTCCAAAAACAAAAGGGTTTTGCCACATTTCTGAAATTCGGCACCCCTCACGCAGATCGGCAGGGTCAGGGTCCAAAAACGCAAGGGATTTGCTACATTTTTGAAATTCGGCGGCACCCCTCACGCAGATCCGTAGAGCCAGGGTCCAAAAACGCAAGGGATTTGCCACATTTCTGAAATCCGGTAGCACCCGTGATGCAGATCCGTAGGGTCAGGGTCGAACAACAAACAGGTCCCGACACTGCTTCACGGCGGCGCCCAGACCTCATGATTTCGCTTTTGCATCTCCCATTATCCGAGACAGGGGGCCGGCGGCATGGGGCGAAGCCCTGACGGATCATTGTTGTTCCTAAGATGTTTGAAGGATTTTGGCATTTGATTCTTCTCGGCACTCCGACGGCTCAAGACGGCCCAAGAGGCCTCCAAGATTGTCCCAAGATCGCCCACGAGGGCTCCAAGATGGCCCCATGACGGCCCAAGAGGCCCCCAAGACTGCCCCAAGAGAGCCCCAAAAGGCCTCCAAAATGGCCAAGATGGCGTCCAAGACGGCTACGATGGCCCCAAGATGCCTCCAAGATGGCCCAAGACGCACCGAAGACGGCCTAAGATGGCCTCAAGATGGCCCAAGACGGCGCAAGAGGCCCCCAAGAGGCCTCCAAGACGGGCCAAGAGCCCTCCAAGAGGTCCTCCAGGAGGGCCCGAAGAGACACAAATCATTGATGTTCCTAAGATTGTTGAAGGATTTTGGGCATCTGATTCTTCTCGGCACTCCGACGGCTCAAGACGGCCCAAAAAGCCGTCGAATTCGCCCCAGCTGGCCCCATGACGGCGCAATAACCTCTCAAGACAGCCCCAAGAATGCCCCAAGACGGCCCAAGTGGCCTCGACGACGCCTAAGATGGCCTCGAAGACGGCCCTCAAACGCTCAAAGAATGCCCGAAGGCGGCCCAGACAAGCCCCCCAAACGGCCTCCGACGGCGTCAGACAAGCCAGGAACGCCCTAAGACGGCCGAAGAGGCCCCCAAGAAACTCCAAGAGGCCCCTTAAAAACAGTCAAACAGGCCCAAGGAAGCTCTCAGGAGGCTCCAAGAATGACCCAAGAGGCGCCCAAGACGCCTCCTCCTCCTCATCATCGTCATCCTCCATCATCATCATCATCATCATCATCATCATCATCATCATCATCATCATCATCATCATCATCATCATCATCATCATCATCATCATCATCATCATCATCATCATCATCATCATCATCATCATCACCATCACCATCATCACCATCATCATCATCATCATCATCATCACCAGCATCATCATCATCATCATCATCATCATCATCATCATCATCAGCATCATCATCATCATCATCATCCTCATCCTCATCCTCATCCTCATCCTCATCCTCATCCTCATCCTCATCCTCATCCTCATCCTCATCCTCATCCTCATCCTCATCCTCATCCTCATCCTCATCCTCATCCTCATCATCCTCATCATCATCAGCATCATCATCTTTTTTCTGATCCTCCCTCTCCTCCTCTTTTTGATCCCCCACGCGTTCCCCGAAGTTGTTCCAAAGCGACTCGGGGAACAACTGGCCAGGGAGGCTCCCAGGAAGTCTCCTGGAGGCTCCAAGAGTTCCCCAATATGCTCCCACGAGGCCTCCTCCTCCTCCTTTGTCCTTCTACTTCTGCTCCACTTCCTCCTCCTCTTCCCTCCTCATCTGATCCTCCCCCTCGTCCTCCGCCAAATGTTCCCCCAAGAGTGTCCACAGCGGCTGGGGGAACACGCAGTCTGATAGCTTGGCCAATCCGGGGTCCAACGTTTTGCCACAGAGGATTTTCCCCAGAGGCTCCCATGAGGTATCCTCGCATGCCCTTTCCTCCTCGATGTGTTCCCCGAAGGTTGTCGAAAAGACTTCGGGGAGCATCCCCGAAGTCTTTCCAAAGCGACTCGGGGAACAACTGGCCAGGGAGGCTCCCAGGAAGTCTCCTGAAGGCTCCAAGAGTTCTCAAGAGGCTCCCAAGAAGCCTCCTCCTCCTGCTTTTCCTTCTCCTCCTGCTCCACTTCCTCCTCCTCTTCCCTACTCATCTGATCCTCCCCCTCATCATCCGCCAAATGTTTCCCCGAGAGTTTCCACAGCGACTGGGGGAACACACAGTCTGATAGCTTGGCCAATCTGGGGTCCAACGTTTTGCCACAGAGGCGTTTCCCCAGAGGCTCGCATAAGGTCTCCTCGCATTACTCTCTCTCCTGGATGTGTTCCCCGAAGGTTGTCGAAGACTTCGCAGAACACATGGTGCGATATCGTGGGCAAACTCAAACCCAACTCCCGACCACATCGGCGTTTACAGAACAGCGAAAAGAGATGTGTTCATCAATCTGCCGAGCACTGCGCTTGGCGCTTGGTCCCGGGACGGCCCAAAACATCCCCCAGACGGCCCCAAGAGGGCCCAAAGACGGCCTAAGAGGCCTCCAAGACGCTCAAGATGGCCTCCAAGAGGGCCCCAAGTGGGTTCAGAAAAGCCCAAGACGGCCAACGAGGCCCCCAAGAGGCGCCCAACGGCCCCCAAGAGACACCCAAGAGGCCCCAAGATAGCCCACGACGGCCCCAAGGTGGCCTCCAAGGCGCACCCAGGATGCCTCCAAGACCGCCAAAATTTCCCAATCGAGGCCAAGAGTGCCTACAGAGGATCCGAAGAGGCCTCCTCCCCCCTTCTCTTTTTTCCTCCGTATCCTCCTCTTCCTCGAGCACGTGTTCCCCGAAGGCGTTCAAAATCAACTCGGGGAACACATGGTCCGATAGTTTGGCCAAGCTCTAACCCAACTTTCGGCCACTTATGCGCTTCCACGAAGGCAGGGGGCGGCGGTGATTCGCCGTAGGCGTCTTCGATATGTAACTCCTCCATGTCGCACCCATAGGCGTGTCGGTAGGGCGGGCCAGGCGTGTCGCCTGTGACTTCTTCACCATGTTCACCAAACACTGCTTGCAGTTAAGGGTTCTTCTGATTTCTCTTCTAAGGAGTTGGGCCTGACGGTCGGTCTGGCGGCTGTGCGACTGCCGTCGACGCCCCGTCGCCGCCCGTCGCCAGGGCCTGACGGTCGGTCTGGCGGCCATGTGGCCGCTTTCGCCGCCCCGTCGTCGTCTCGTCGCCGCAATATGGACTGCACCACATAGTTTGCACCACATATGTTGCACCACATAGATCGCACAACGTATATTACACGGCATGTACTGCACAACACAGAATGCAGATCAAATATTGCGCACCCACCACATTGATCACATCACATATTTTGACACCGCGCAACATCTACTGCACACCGTGCATTGCACCACATGACTTTCACAACGTATAGTGCTCCGCATTGACTGCTCAGCATAGTGTACAACGCATATTGCACCACGTAGAATTCACAACATAGTTTGCGCAACATATATTGCTAGAAACACACTGTGTTGGGGTCCACGCTGGCTATCATATAGTCCTCAAGCTCGAACTTTGCAACAATCTGACGGATGGAGGGCGGGCCGTTGTCAAAAATGGCTCTCGCTTGAGCGCGGCGCACACTCGTCCTAAACGTTTGCAAGAATTTCACGGCTGAGGGGTGGGCCGTTTTCAAAGTGTGGCCCTCGCCTTGGCGCCGTGCACATTCGCCTCAACTGTTTGCACCCATTTCACGGATGGAGGGCGGACAGTTTTCAAACAAGGCTAAACTTACACGGTGTTTTTTGTTTTCGTTTTCCCTCGTTTTGTCTTCAATCCGCCTTTAACGCAAAACGGCATCGAAAAGAGAACGGCCCACGAAAGTTCAGGTCCACCCCTGTTCTCAAAACGCGGCTCTCGCCCGGGCGCCGTGCACATCCGTCGACAACTTGCAGCACCTCCACGGATGGAGAGCGGGCCGCTTCCAACCTGCTGCTCGCCTTAGCGCCGTGCGCATCCGTCGTAAAATTACGTCGGGCGTGTCCCCCTACAGGGGGAATGTGGACGACAAATTTAAGATAGTCAAACAAATATAGAAAATGAAACACATCGTCCCCATATTATTTATTCACTATTTTTTGTATATTCCCCCTGTAGAGGGACAGGCCCGGCTAAAGCTTAAAAGTTTGCAGCAGCTTCAAGGATGGATGACGGAGCCTTTTCAAAATGCGGCTCTCGCATTAGCGCCACGCACATTGATTCTGCAACAGCGTCGAGGATTGGTGTGGCTGACGTCCCAGGGACGATGTTCTCGCGCGATTCTTGATCGACATGACGCAAGAGTCACGTTGATTGAAATCGGGTTCGGAGGGCTCGGGTTGGCCTGACGGGGCCGTCAGGAACCTGACGAGGCCGAATCTGAGATTTGACGCGAGCTCCCGCTGCAAGCATCCCACAGAAACGGTGCCGTCAAAGCCCAAGACGGACTCGTCGAGAAGACGCGTCGACAAACCCGCGTGCTGGCGAACCCGAGTCTTGACTATCGTTCAACCGATCCCCATCCCCAGCGGCGTGGCCTGGGCCCCGCTGGCCGATTTACCCCCCTATAGATGGGGATCTGGGTCATCCCGTTCGGGTTTCGAGGGGTGTATCCCTAACTCCGGGGGTAATTTGGTGGGGGTCTCGAAGGGGATGGGGATGCCCTGATGGTCCGCTACCGAAAATTTCCGGTAGCGCTCCGCAGAGATCGGTCGCTACCGAAATACCGAAATGTAGCGCCCAATACCGGTATCAGAGCGTTCTGAAATCCGCTATTTCAACGCCCTCAAACGAAGATCCGGTCGCTACCGAAATTCGGGGTGCGTCGAAATCGCTACCGAAAATTTCCGGTACCAGACCATCTGGGTGGGGAGGGGGGCCAGTGAAACGATACTGAAGTCTTGCGCTTCCGAGGGCGACAGGGCTTCGTGGCCGCCGGGGCCCTCCGCGCGGCCCCCCCGAGACCGCGAGCGCGCCGGGGCCCCCGGCGGCGGGCCTCGCCGTCACCGGGCTGCTCGCCGGACTGGCAGCGGCGGAGGCCGCCGGCGGTGGCCTCGGGGCGCGCGCACACAGAGGATTCTGCAGCCGAGAGGGCACAGCGGCACGGAAAGACGACGGGCCCGCAGATTGCTGGAGGAGACGGGTCCGCAGCGCGTGCAGGCCACGCGCAGGATAGCTGTAGACATGCACGACACGGGTGCAGAGGGGCCCTGGGAGGCAGTGTCGGCACTTTTCGAGCGGGGCTCGTTGACAATACGCAATGCAGGGGAGAAAGTGTGCGAACAACAGAACACTTTGCACGCCGCTGGTCGGGGCGCTCGCGGACCTCTCCTGAGACGAAGACAGGACCAACGCCCCTGACACCGAGTGCTTCACTGACGGGTACGGTGGCTAGCGACCGGGCAGACCCAATCCTTTCCGATGCGGATGGCGCTGCAATGCGGGACAGATGCCTTATAAGATTGCAATCTGCGGCTGTTATCCCAAGTACCCGTCAGCGAATACCCGTTGCGGTACCCCTGACAGGACAGGGAAAACATCGGACTGGGATAAATCGGGGATCTCTGAGACCCATCGATTCTGGAGGATGTAACGGGCGCCGCGAGAGAGCAAGATAGAGAGAGAGAGAGAGGAAGAGAAAGAAAGATCGAGCGAGAAAGAGAGAGAGAGAGAGAGAGAGAGAGAAAGCAAGAGCAAGAGCAAGAGAACCCGCGTGCGCGGGGGGGGGGGGGCAAGGGGGCCGGGGGGCCTGTGCCAGCTGCAGGCGCGCGCCGCTCAGCGCCATCTCCTGCTCTGCGCCCTCCGAGACGACGGCGGGACGAGCAAGATCGGACCGAGAAGCGTGGTAGCCGGCGGGTCTCGAGGACGCATCGGTGGCGACATCATCCGAGGCCTGCAGTCGGGCCGCTGACTCAAGGAACGACACATGAGAAACGAGGCCCCTTTGTTTCAAAGAAGCCCATGCCGTCCAAAGGGGCACTGGGGGGGGGGGGGGCTCGCCGCCCTCAAAAAAACGGAGCGCATGTAAATCTAAAGAAGGCCCAAGCCCGTTTTACAAAGTAAGTGTTCCTTCTTCAGCGGCCCGACTGTACCCCCACCAACGATCGACTCCCCTAAACCTATGAGAGGCGGGGGCGGGCTTCGGATGTCCCCGCGTGTTCGACGAGTTCCGGACCCTGCCCCCGCCGCCCATCGGGTTGCCCGATTCGTTGATCGGCGATGGCAGGGTTCGGATGTCGCCGCCGAGTGTATCAAGAACGGCACCATGACCCCAAAGTGTCCACAAGGCTCCAAAAGGATCCCTAAGTGGACCCACGAGAAGGCCTCAAGAGGAACAACGCTCACTGATTCATCATTTGTTTTTCCTAAGCGTCCTGTGGTGTTGGGTCCTCGTTATGAAAAGATGGCGCCCCGCGTTTCCTCCACTTCTCCTCCAGAGAAAGCTCGTTCCCCGGTTGAACGACTGGCTCCCCAGCGGAAGCTCGAAGTGCTTTCTCAGTAGATGGAACTCATGGAGGGTTTCTTGGCGGCCGCCGAGAAGGTTCTTGGCGGCCCCTGCGAGGGTTCTCGACAGCCCCCGGGAAAGTTCCTGGCGGTCCCCAAGAAGGTTCTTGGCAGCCCCTGAAACTCGAAGGTTTGCTTGGCGGCCCCCGGGTAGCCTCGTGGCGGCCCCTGAGAAGGTTCTTGGCGACACCTGAGAGGGTTCTCGGCGACCCCTGAGAGGCCTCTTGGCGGCGTATGAGAGGGTTCCTGGCTGTCCCTGAGAGGGTCCTTAGCGGCCTGTGAGAAGGCTTTGGGCTGTCTCTGAAAAAAAGGTTTTTGCAGGCCCGTGGGGATATTCTGGGCGGCCTCTGAGAGCGTTCTGGGCGGCCCCTGAGAGGTTCCTTGGCGTCTCCTAGGAGGGTTCTTGAAGGCCCCTGAGAGGCCCCCTGGCGGCTCCTGAGAGGCCTCTCGGCAGCACCTGCGAGGCCTCTTGGCGGCCCCTGAGAGGTTCCCTGGTGGCCCCTGAAAGGGCTCTTGGCGGCCACCGAAAAAGAGTTCCTGGCAGCCCCTAACAAGCCTCGTCGCTGCCCCTAAGAAGGGTCTTGGAGGCCCCTTAGAAGCATCTTGGCGGCTCCTGGGGGGCCTCTCGGCGGCCCCTGAGAGGGTTCTTGGCAGCCATTGAAAGGGTCCTTGGCGGCCCCTGAGAGTGTCGTTGGCGGCCCCGGAGAGGCCTCCTGGCAGCCCCTGAGAGTGTCCTTGGCAGCCTCTGAGAAGGTTCTTGGCGGTCCCTGAGGCGGTTCTTCGCAGCCCCTGAGACGGTTCTTATCGGCACCTAAGGGGTTTGGTTGGCGGCCCCCTAAGGGCCTCTTGGCGTCCCCTATCAAGCTTCTTGGCGGCCCCTGAGAAAGATTGTTTGGCGGCCCCGGAAAGGCCTCCTGGTGGTCCCTGAGAGGGTCTTTGGCAGCCTCTGAGCAGGTTGGTGGCGGCCTCTGAAGGGTTCCTGGCTGCATCTGAAAAAAGCTTCTTGGCAACCTCCCATTGGACGCCTTTAGGGGCCCTGAGAAATAATTCTGAGAGGTCTCCGATAGCCCTCAGAGAGGCCTCTTAGAGCCCTTGTGGAAACGTCTGAGGGCCCTCAGAGCGATCTCCCTCTGAAAAGCCTCTGAGAGCTCTCAGAGATGCCTCTGAGAGGCCTTTGACAGGCCTCTGGTATGCCTCCGATAGATCCCCGAGATCCCTCTGGAGAGCTCTGTGGGAGCTGTGTCATCTGAAAGCCGTCTGCATAGCTTCTTGTGGCTAGGTGGCCGCGGCCGCACTCCTTTGGCTGCGCACGTTCCTGGTCGGCCGCTGTCGCGGGAACAGAAGATGCGCATGCGCGCTATCACCAGTTCTCGTTTTCGACGCTTTGAACAAGGAGCCGCCCGCACCTTCTCTGTGCCGTTTTCAGTGGTTGCCCCCTCAGCCCCCAGAGGCCTCGGGCCCCGCCTCGCACGGCGCCTCCCTCTGGGATGCCTCGAGAGGACCTGAAGTGTAGCTCGAGCGAGAACCCCGTTGTGAAACAGGAGCCGACCGTACCTCCTCCTCCTCTGGGCCTTCTCTGGTTGCCTGGTTGCCTCCCTCAGCCCCCCAGAGGCGTCGGGCCCCGCCTCGCACGGCGCCTCCCTCTGGGATGCCTCCAGAGGCCCCCTGTTGCAGTCGAAACACCAGGAGGCAAAACAACATCCAGGCCGACGGTGCGTCAGCGCAAACGAGCAGGCGGCCACACCATTTAAACTCGAGCCGAACAAACGAGCAGGCGAGCAGAGCAAACGAGCAGGCGAGCAGTACAAACTAGCAGGCAATTAGAGCAAACGAGCAGGCGACAGACAGCGGCAAAGACAATTCCCCGCGCCGCGTGCCCCCTTTTCACTCACGACTGTCAGCACTGATGGTGATGGTGGGTTTCTGGGGCTCGTTCCTGGGGTGCGAGCTGTTGTGCTCGTGGCTGGTTGTGGGTCGGCGGTCCTCCTCCTCCTCTTCCAACTCCTCCTGCTCCTCCTCCTCCTCCTCCTCCTCCTCCTCCTCCTCCTCCTCCTCCTCCTCCTCCTCCTCCTCCTCCTCCTCCTCCTCCTCCTCCCCCTCCCCCTCCCCCCCCCCCCTCCCCCTCCCCCTCCCCCTCCCCCTCCCCCTCCCCCTCCCCTCCCCCTCCCCCTCCTCCTCCTCCCTCCTCCTCCTCCTCCTCCTCCTCCTCCTCCTCTCCTCCTCCTCCTCCTCCTCCTCCTCCGCCTCCTTTTTGTTCCCCTCCTCGTCCTCGCCGTCCCTCTTCTCTTCCCCCTCCTCCTCCTCCCTTCCAGCCCCATCCGCTTCCTGTTCCTCTTGCTCCTTGTCCCCATGTTCCTCCTCCTCCTCCTCCTCATCCTCGATCCTCTTCCCCCCCTTTTGTTCCTGCTGCTCCTCCTCCTCCTCCTCCTCCTCCCCCTTCTCCTCCTGGATCCTCTTCTCTCTTCCTCCTTCTCCTCCTCCTCCTCCTCATCCTCCGCTTCGTCCTCCTCCCGCCCCTCTTCCCTCTCATCTTCTTCTGTTCCGTCCCCATCTCGTCCTCCTCCTCCTCCTCCTCCGCCTCCTTCTCGCGATGGGTCCATCGTGCGCAACACCTTTCGATGATTCAGAGGCGCAGGTTCTCCAACATTGAGAAGAGCAAAGCCATTGCCACGCAAGCTAGTACAACAACATTTCTGACGAACTCGTTCCCCCGTCGGACTCATGTTGTTTCGGCGACAACGTAAGTGGCTATGTGTAAGGGTTGAACTCGTGTTTATGGTCTCTACGACATCTTAACAACACGGTTCTAAGTATGAACTCCGCCGGGGAACGAACTCTTTCAAATTGGTGGTACTTCCGCCAGAGAGTGACTCGAACAAGCGGGGAACGGGTCGTTCAACCAGGGAACGAGTCGCTGGCCCCTCCTCCCCCTCCTTGCTCCTCCCCCCCGCATCCTGTTTCGGCACCCAAATAAACCGAACGACCAGCTTCCCACTTGGGATGGAAATGATCCGTACATTGTTTTGTGGCCCCATAGAGAGCTCCACCGAAGGCCCCAGTGGCTGCTCTCGCATGCGTTCCCCCCCCCCCACACAGTAAGGCGGTTCGTGGCCCCATGGGGAGCTCCACCGAAGGCCCAAGCGGCTGCTCTCGAATGCGGCTCTCCTGCCGGGTACAACGTTTCGTGGCCCCCATACGGAGCTCCACCGAAGGCCGCAGTGGCTACTCTCGCCTGCGGTTCCCCCACCCAGTAGAGCGCTTCGTGTCCCCATAGGGAGCTCCACCGAAGGCCCATATGGCTGCACTCGCATGCGGTTCCCCCGCCAAGTACAGCGGCCCCCACAGAATTCCAAGCATGCCCTCAACAGTACCATACCAGGAACCTTTGGTATGACACTGTCGCGGGCTGTTCCGTAGCCCTCATAGGGCCCTCTTAGGCCTGTCAGAACCTCTTTGTACCCTTTCGGGCTCCTCTTCAAGCATTTTCGGACTCTCAGAGAGGCCAGAGACAGCTCCAAGAAACCTCCAAGGGAGCCCGGAGTGAGCTCCAAGAGAGTTCCCAGAATGTTCCCATCAACAACATACCCAGGAACGATGACGGGATGGGCCGTGGGCCACGTAATTAATCCAAGACGGGCCCGACATCGCCCGAACGCCTCAAGAGACGGCCAGGCTCCACTCCCAGATGGTCAGGGATGGGGCTGCATTGCCGCCAAGACGATCCGAGATGCCCTCGAAGGCGGCGAAGATGACCCCGTCTGATCTAAGAAGGCCCCCGAATACCTCCAAGACGGTTACGGATGTCGGCACGAGGCCGCAATAACGCCTGAGGAGGATCCCAGAGCACCGAAAAAGGCTCTGAAGAGGTCTTCTCCTCCTCCAACTCCTCATCCTCCTCTTCCTCCTCCTTCTCCTCTCCTCCCTCTCCTGATGCCACCCCTCCTCTGCGAAAACACATCGGCAGATAGCTTGGCAAAACTGTGTTCCGAGTCATACGCTTCTTGGGAACCTCATGGGGCTTCCGGGAAACTCTTCGCGGCGTCGGGTCCCAATCTTCCCGAACAACTCTAGCTGCCACCTTCATCATTAGAAGGAACAACTGCACAAACATATAAACGTTTGGCGCTCCGCGCGGATTTGTTGGATCCGCGCTTGCTTTTTTTCTGCTTCGAATCATTGGGGTCTCACTCCAGGGTCGACGGCACCGGCCGCAAGGCCTTCGCAAAAAAAATAAAAACAACAGACATGCGATGCCCCGATGTTTTCAATATGGGGCCTCCGAAGTTCCGACCCGACCCTTCCCCCTCCGTGCCAGGGAGCACGGGAGAGCGAGAGAAGGCCCCCGGGCTCGAGGAGGTGGAGCGGAGGGGCGGGCACGGCGGCTCCTGGCTGGGGTGCTTGGGGGCCCTGGCCGCGCGCGCCCCGCGGGGAGTGGCGCCGCCGGTCGGGGGGAACGAACGGGGGGGATAGCAGAGGGGCAGGGTAGCGAATCGGCTCACGCAAGCTGATTTTCCCAGCAAGGGAGGCGCCCGTGTCTCGAGGAGTGGGCCCGGCGGCGGGGCCGAGACCAGCTGCACGCAGCAGATTTCGTAGCCCCCCTTTCCCTATCCCCTCCTTTCGCTCGGCCCGAGCCTGGGAGGTGGCCCTCGGTTGGGGCCTGGGGGCGCAGGTGAGCGACGAGGACAAACGAGTCTGACGCGAGGCGGCAGAGCGACCTTACGCCGCGGCTTGCGCGGGCCGCCCGCGTGGCACTCCGCAGTGGGCACGGGGGCGCCTGTGCGCCATCTCACGCGGGCAGCTGACGGCCGAATGTCCGCGCAACCGACGCCGTTGTCTTCCGTCGCTCAGGTGGCGGTTCAGAGCCAAAATGGCTCGCGTCCGGGCCGAGGACGCAGAGGGACAACAAACCGAATGTGCTCGCGGGGTTCAAGAGAGGGGGCGTCCAAGAGGGGGGGTCGCAAGTCATGGCCCGAAGCACGTGCGCGGGCAAGGGTGGAGGCCAATAGATGTCTTGAATTGAAGAGAAAATGGCATACACCCAGGCAACTATCCCGGCCCCGTCCGTCATATCCCACGCACCCGTCCCCCACCCCCCTCGTGCCCGCTCCCGATAACCATAAACTCCTTAGATGCCCGTTGTGGAGACTATCGTGGAGCCACTTGTTCCACTCATGCGTCGATGCTGCGTCGAACGTTCGTCGACTTGAGTCGCACTTGGGTCGAACTGCAATCGAACTTGAGTCAAACCAGAATCGAACAGACCCATTTGCTGGACCCCAGGATGGCCCCCTCAACGAGCATGCGAGGACACAGGACCAACAAGCTGAATAAACATACATTCCGGAGGTCCATCTGGGGCGAGGACATGTAAAGAAACCACACAAACACAGGCTGTCGGTGGTCCGCGCTGATTTCCTGGATCGGCGCCGGACCCCTCTGGCGCCGCCACTGGCGCGCTCACACTTTTGCTATTTCAATCAACGGTGCAGGTAGTCAAGCCGGAATGAAGCACATGTGTGATACAATCTTGTGGCGAGCGACGGAAGCAGACAGAATGAGGGGGATAAAGAGAGAGAAAGATAGACAAAGGGAGAGAGAGAGAGAGAGGGAGAGAGGAGAAAGCGACAGTTAGAGAAAGAGAGTCAGAGAGAGAGAGAGAGGCCATCCCGATCCCCCAATCATGAGGAGATGGCGTCCTCCCCCACTGCTCGGCGCCCTCGTGGGAGCTGTGGCCCGCGCGGGCGAGGCGCGCGCAGGGTGCCTGCCAGAAGACGGAAGCTCTACAGCAAATTCGCGCCGCGACGGCTTCCCCGCTGGCTTCCGGCACCCCGTGCATCGCTCGACCTGGAACGATCGCGGCTGCTCGATGGCGCAGACCGTCAGAAGTTGGCAGCATCTGGGCCACTGGCGGCGCTCACCCTCGAACGCCCCGCGCTGGGCTCGCCGCGGCGTTGGGCCTGCACCATGGGAGGCTCAGCAATTCCACCCGTTGGTATTCTGTTGCAGACTCTGGACGCCCCTCGGAGCATCCTGCGCACTCGGGACCCCCACACCATGCGGAGCACGGGGATGCCGAGGACACGAGCGCCGAGGGGCCGCCGCCGCGCCGACCCGACACGAACCTGCCGTGGGTCACCCAGCGCGGTTTTCCGGACCAGACCGCGAGGCGCAGGGCGCGGCTACCTTCGCGCGCCCTGCGGTGGCCCAGAGCATCACGCCGTGACCTGGGGCCCAGGCCTCGGCAGCAGCACCGGCATGCTGGTGCTCAATCTGCAGGCCGACGGGGAGAAGGCCGTCCGCCGAGCTGAAAGTTCCAATACAGCTACAGGACAATGGCCTGGCTTGGAATGCGTGGCATGCCGACCTGAAGGTGGGCGGAAGCGAGAAGACGGGCCGTAGGCTGGCAGAGAAACAGAAGCATGGAGGCGAAGAGGAAGGAGGCACAAGCCTGGTTGAGAACTCCTGGTCTGGATGGTTGTGACGGCAGCTGCGCGCGCCCGCTGGCGCGACCGCTACCGCTTCCTCCGGGCCCCAGCGGCAGCACCGAGCGCGGGGAACTCCTCCACAGGCTCCGCCGCAGCGGTTGGCGGCGCGGCCCGCGCCGGTGCCGCGCCGCGGCCCGCGGCCGCCGACCCCAGAGGTGGCGCGGCCGCCGCGGCGGCCTTCTCTGGTGGCAACTCATGGGAGCCTCCCAGCCGATCTTGCTGGCTCGCGCGGATCGATGCCAACCGATTCTGGTCGACGCTCAATCGACGCTGAGACTCTGAATCGGCGCTTTCTCATCGACTACCAGAAGCTAACGCACGCTACATCATGCACTCCGAAGACGGAAATACGAGGACATACAAGGCTCCCATAATTTGCGATTTGCCGAAGGCCTTCTCCTCCTGCAACTCGCGCCTGACAGCCTCCGCCGCCTCGGCGGCGCCGCTGGCGAGCCGCTTCCGCTCAAGCGGCTTCATGCCGAGCTCGTCCGCGAGGTCGTCCATGTTCTCCACGAGCTCCTCGAGGCTGCATGCGCCCTGCTCCTCCGCCCAGGCCGCCGCCTGGGACGTGTACCCGGTCAGCTTCAGCTGGCTCGGCCACACGCAAGAGCCACCCCCGGAGGCAAGAGGGACCTTGGCTGCGCGGCTTCGGCGAGCCGCGGGGAAGCCAAATCCGAGCGCGCAGGCCGATGCAGATGGGACCCCTGCGGGCCTGCACCAAAAGGCCCCTTCGCCGAAGGGTCAGTCTTACGCGTAGCCGACTGGCGCATGAACGCCGTCAGGCCCCGCACGCCCCCGTCCGTCGCGCACGACGCCGGCGGCTGCCTCGCCGCCGCTGCCGGGCCGGGCGCCGCCGGCACGGCCGCCCCAGCAGCCGTCTCGGGCGCGGAGGGGGCGCTGGCGGGCCTCATGGCGCTCCTCTGTCGGCGGCGCGTGTCGAGGGGGAGGAGGAGCAGGAGGAGGAGGAGGAGGAGGAGAAGGAGGAGGAGGAGGAGGAGGAGGAGAAGGAGGAGGAGGAGGAGGAGGAGGAGGAGGAGGAGGAGGAGTGGGAAGGGGGCAAGCCCTCTCGCTGGGCGGCGGGGCGTCGCAGAAGCCCCCGGGCCATGAGAGGAGCCGCCTGCGGCTTCGGAGGAGGCCCGGGCGTCCTCTCGGAAGGGCCAGGAAGGCCTTCTGCGCCGTCTGGGAAGGCCCGCCCCCTCCGCCTTCCCCCCTGGCGGCGCTGCCCATCCTGGGGAGCAGGTTCGGGCGCTCCTTCACGGGCAGCCCACGCAGTATGCAGGCGCACGCAGTCACCGTGCTACCTAATGGGGAGCAGCAGGGGGAGCGAAGGGTCCCTCCAGGCCACGGTGGGCCTCGACCACGAAGAGGCTCCCCGACCTGGATCCAGCGAGCGGACCAAGATCCAAAGTCGAAAGCCCCTCCTGAGCCCGAACTGGTCCTTCTTCCGCGTCTTGACTGTACGGCCCTACGGTCCTCGAGGCCAGCCTCGTGGCACGAACGCTCGCACACTTGGCAATCTCCAAGCCCATGGAAGACCGTGCCTGCGCGCGTCTGCTTTTTTCGCACCTGGGCTAACGGGGGGAAAGACGGAGCGTGAAGATACGCGCACCTTTCCAGCACATTTTGGGCCACGCTGGTTGTTTGAAGCCGTTCATATGGCCCCTTTAGGGTTAGGTCGGGCATGTTCCCCTACAGGCAGATTTTGGACGAACAATGAAAAGTAGCAAAAACAAACAACAATTATCAACACATCGTCCCCATACTATTTGATGTAAACTATTTTCGAATATTCCCCCTGTAAATGGGCAGGCCCGACTCAACTTTAGGGTCACTTTCCACCGATCCTCGAGCCCCCACTCGAGTCTTGCCCCCGCCGGCCGAGCGCCCGATAAGAAACCGATACTGCTGCTCCCCAGACTTATGTTGCTCCCATCGTACTTTTAAGGACCACGTCCCAGGAATACTTTCGAGCATCCGGAAAGACGTCGAAACAGTTTCGAAAAAGTGTCGAACGAGTGTGTCCCAAGGCCCGACGCGCGGAAAACATCGAGTTTCGGTACTTCCTTGGTGCTCGACATGCTTTCTGGTGATGAAGGCCAGGAGCAGGTTGGAACACCGTAGCCCCGGACCTCTTCCAGGGAGCGTCCCGACCAGAATCTCGATGAGAATCTGGCCGTGGTGGCGAGGCCCCTCCAGGACGAGCAGCGGCATCGGCATCTCTCCCTTCCCGTGGCTCTCCAGTAGTCGTCGACCTCCTGCGCCGAGTACTGCCCTGCGCAGAGCTTCTTGAGCTCCTGGTAGGTCCTCGCCTGAAAGGCAACGTTTGGGGGACCAGCTCAGGGAAGGAAATGTCGACCTGGAATCGGCGATACGTCGCCAATAGCTCGGGGCTATGCGACGATAGCGGATCCGCGGCGGATGGGGCCATCGGGCTGGACCCCCCTCCCCGCGAAGAGCGCGCAGTGGGCGCCGCCAGAGGCGCCGCCAGGGGGGCCCAACGCCGACCCAAGAAATCCGCACTGCCCTCATGAGTATCGTTTGACCGATCCCCATCCCCAGCGGCGTAGCCTGGGCCCCACCGCTGGCCCGATCGGGGGCCGACGCATCCTCTCCTATGCCTATCCCCCACTGACACTGCCCACTGGCTTTTTCGAGGCCTCCTGGATGGGGTCCGAGTAGATGGGGTCGGAGGGTCGTGCCGCATCGCCAATCCATCGGCGATGCATCGTCGACGTCGGCGACGCATCGGCGACGTCGGCGTGGAGAAAATCGGGCACCGCATCGAGCCGCATTGTCGATGTATCGGCGATGCGGCGCGGTCCTCCGACCCCATCTACTCGGACCCCATCTATGAGGCCTAGACTTTTGGATCGTGAATCGAGTCTCCCGCAACCATTCGGGGCGATCCGGGCACCCCTGAAACACCCTCGACCAAGCGCAGCTCCTGGAACGCATCCCAAAGCTGGAAACCCGCGAAAAACAAGCTGAAAAATACAGAACACCTCGAATCTCGAAGCCGCTCGTCCCTAACCAATATCAGGGATCGACGCATCCAAACCTCCCTCAGCTCGTCACCCTTACCCGTTGAGAGAGCATGTGGGACTATTGGGGGGCCTTCTGCTTCTTTCTCTCTCTCGTTTTCTCTTTCTCTGTTTGTTTTTGTTTCTCTCCCACTTTCTCTCTCTCTCTCTCTCTGTCTGATCCGCCACAGAGAAATCCTTGTGTAGGCCTCCACACAAAGAATCCTCTTTGCAATCCGTGTGAAAAAATCCTTGTGTGGCAGACGCATCAGATGGCGGAGGGCCCCGGAGGGCACCAGCCCCCCAAAAGCAACAGGATAGCTGTCAACAAAAACGCCTGGGACTCACACTTTTTGTGTTTGTTCGTGGCTGGCGGCCCCGTCGGCCGTGGGGGGACAGAAATATGTGTTGTCTCTTTTCTCTCTGTCTCTCTGTCTCTCTACTCCGCCACAACGGAATCTTGTTGCGAGCCTCCACACAAAGAATCCTTGCAAAATCCACCTAAGGATCCCTGTCGTGGCAAACGCACACGCTGGCCGAGTGCCCGAGGAAGTACCAGCCAAAGGGAAAACACCCAACACGTGACATCAAAAACGCCGGGGATTCTCAACTTATAGCAAATTGTTTGTGTCCGGTGGCCCCGTAAGCCGTCGGGCCACTGGGCCGCCAACCACAACAATCAACAACAAAACTGAGTTCCGTGCGTTGTTTCTCTTGTTTGCCTTTTCCTTTTTGAGTTGGCGCCCCCTTGTCCCTCGGCAGTCTTGCACTAGTATGTAATGTCTGTGTTGTTTGCTTTGTGTTTCCTCTCTCTCTCTCTCGCCCTGTCTCGCTCAACCTCCAGAAATATTCCTTGTCGCAGGAGCACAAGATAGCCGAGGGTCCAGAGCGGATACCAGCCAACAGTCGCAAACAACGCCTGGGCCCCCGTTGTTTGTATGGTTTCGTGGCCGGCGGCCCCGTACGCCGCGGGGGCACTGGGACGCCAGTCGCAAAGCAACAAGAACAAACTGAGGATCTCATGCGTCTTCTTCGTCGTCTTCTTTTCTTATTTGTACCACCGTTGCTATTACGAGTCAAACTATTGTTGTTCGTGTTGTGCCTGTTTGTGCTGTTTCGTGTTTAGCTGGTGCACTACTGGTCTTTCGGTCATCTGTCATTAAAACCGTATTGGTATTGGTAGGTGGGATAGGAGGGGGAGAACATCTCAGAGCATTACCAGTCTTGGCCACATGTATTCCGATCGGAAGAGGAGACGGAAAATGGGAAAGGACTTCCTATTGCATTGTTGTCGCCTTATCGCATTCCGATGGTGCTCCTTTTGGAGGAGGAGGAGGAACAGGAGGAGGAGGAGGAGGAGGAGGAAAACGAGGAGGAAAAGGTGGCAGGAAGGAGGAAGGAGGGAACACACGACATTCCCAAGTTCCCCCTTCCCTCCCCTGCATGTTCCGTCTTCCTCCTTGTTCTGACCTCCTCCTTCCTCTACATTGTATTGCATCGTGTCGCGTTGTCTTACATTGCGTTGCATTGCATTGCGCATTCCGTTGGGTCGCATTGCATTGCGTGGTTTTGAATTTTCGCGCGTTGCGTTGCATTGCGTTGCACTGTTTCATACTGCGTCGCGTTACGTCGCGTTTTCATTGCATGTGGCCCTCGGTCTAAAACGGGGCCCAAGGTCGGAGGATGTACGTTGCATTGCGTTGCGTCGCGTCCTGTTGTGTTGCAGTACGTCGTGTTTGCTTTGCGTGTTAGGCCCCGCCTCAGCCCTCAGCCTAACCTTGGCCCAGGGGTATATGTTGATTGGATTCACATTGGACTCGTATTGTAAAAATGGGGATCGCGCGCCCGCATGGCTCGGGTCACCGACGGCTTCCATTGTTCTGGCATTCGCGGCAAAACCTCGGTTGGTGAAAAGATTCAATATGAAGACCTGGATACAGCACAAGGGATCTGCTGAGACTTGGCCCGAGCAAGATCCCGGCAACTTTTTCACGTCGTCTTGCAGGGTGACGACGCCGTTGGAGCCTATAGGACGTCGACCGCGCGCGGCGAGGACCCCCCCATTTGCACTCGCCCTCGCGCCGGAGTCGGCTCGGAGAGGGGAAGCGTTGCACCTGTTCTCGCGCCCATTTAGCGCGCTCTTTAGCGTGCGCTCGTGGCGCCAAAATGTCGCGGCGCTCCAGCGCGCGCCCCCCGCGCTGCGTCGGGCCGCGCACCCTCGATCCGGCCGGGGCGAAGCGAGGATGGGCACTCCGCCGAAGGCTCTGATGGCCCTGCAAGTGCTGCGGACACGGCAAGGTTTGTCACGCCCGATCTGCCGGGCTCGGAGCTCGACGAAAGCGAAGCAGCCACCGACGGGAAAGCCGGCGCCGCCCTCGGAATTGCAATGTCTTTCAGCGAGTGGTGCGACGTAGCAAATTCTGAAGCCTCTCAGGAGATGCGACAGCAATGGGCCCACGACAGTAAGTCTGGCCTCGAAGCAAGGAATATTTCTCTCACGGCAGCCCAGAAGCTCGACTGAAAGCTGAGCTCGGGCTGCACGCGCGCATTCAATCGCAGCGCGCGCTTTTGTCTGGCGTCGCTCTTCCGCCAATCGCGCGGGGGAGCGGCCTCTCTGTCTCTGTCCGGGCGCGCGAGCCGCGCGATCGAACGGCGGTTGCGACTATTGCTGAGCAGGGGCCCACCGCCCCGGCATGGCTGCGGGCTCGCCACGCAATTCCCTGAGAACCCAGATATGTGCTCATAACAAAACCAATGTTCTTAGAACCTAAGCCCGACGCGCTTAAACAAGACAGCCCCAACGATAAATTTAAAACAAAGAATCGCGCAGACCACAGAAGGTTCGTGGCGCATTTTTGGCAGGCCTATAGGCAAGCTAGGACGCTTCGCCACTTCTTGACTTTGGCGACGCGCCCAATGAGGCGCGCCCCGCTGCAGCTTCGGGAACTGCCGCGGTGGATTTCATAGACTGATGCCACGGGCGGCGCCGGTGTCGCGCGGGTTGCACGCTTTGCGCCCGCGCGGGCGTTCGCCCGCGCGGCGACCCCCAGGCGCCCGATGGGGTCGCGCGCAGCCCCGCAAGGCGCAAATCATCACGCGAGAGCTGATTGGCGCCCCGCGCGGGTCGCGGCAGATGCCCCATCCCACTTGATTCGCGGTGGCGGCGAAAAGACTCTGCATTCTGCAACGCTGCAGTCGCGCTCGGGGCGATGTTAGGTGGTCGCTCCAGATAAGCTGATGAGAATGAGCTGGCGCCTGAAATTTGGCTCGCGCGGCAGACCCAAACCGCTAGTTTCCCGCCTGGATGGCTCCGCCCAAACAGAATCTGGCCGATGGCCCGCCCAGAGGGCGGGGCGACGCAGGCGCCGCGGGCGAATTATTGGGGCGCGGATTCCAAGAGCCTGCGCGGCAGCGCCCAGGCACAGCGCGGCGGAGCAGCTGGCGCGCGCGAGGTCCGCAGAAGGAAATACATGGGAAAATGCATGAATCGCCCGTGGCCGTCGCGCCCGTGGGCCAGTGCGCCTCATCTTCGGACGGGCGCCCCCCCCCCCCCCCCTCTCCTTCTCGCTCCTATCACATCCTCCATCTCCCAGCATGGCGAAGACCCTGTGACTCGCAGGTCGCGGCCCGCAGCGGGCGCGCGGGGCCCCGTCGAAGCTCCGCCGTCGCCGCCGCGCCATCCACTCTCATCTCGCGGCCGTTTTCGGCTGGTATGAAAAAGGATCCGAGCAGCCTGTTGAACGCCGCCAGACTTGCCCGCGGGGCGAGCAAGGCGAACCAGACATATCGACTGCTTTCGACCCAGATCCTTTACACTTCAGAAGAGAGAAGTGGCGAAGCACCTTGCGTCAGCGGGTCAGAGCGAATTTGCGGCGGCGCACAATTTCTGCTTCCGCCGCGGGTCGGAGGCCATGCCGCTGACGACGGAGAACAGCGACTCCTCCGTGCATTTTGAAAAAAAAAAAAAAAAAAAAAAAAAAAAAAAAAAAAAGGGCCAGGCGCCGGGAGGCAACCGTGCGGTTGCACCAAAGACACTTGCGTCAACAATCTGCGGTTGTCACGCGGCGATGCATCTGCGAACTGCAGACGCCGCCCCCCTGCGGCGCGCGCGCGAAGACGCCGACCCCGCGAAGGGCGCCTCGTCGCGAACCCGTCACGCGGGAGCGCGCTGGCATCCCTGAGAATTCCCCCCGCGCTTCGAAGCGGGGGGCGCACGCCTGCCCGCGCGAATGGGCCGACGAAGTCTTGACCCAGTGGAGCGTGCCAGCCTTGTTTTACAACGGCGGATGGAGAGGAACCGCTGCTTTCGGTTATGCTGATTCGAGCGCCCGGGGTGCTGTTTCAGCAGCAGAATGGCCCATCAAAATCTCAGAATCCTCTGCATATGATGCCCGAGCCTGTAAGAAACAGAGGATGCGCGCGGCCCGAATCGTAGCATCGGGGATGTGTTAGCCTGTGTCGACTCGGACCCCGGCATCGGGCGACGTTTTCGGGAGACTCTCGCCCCCGCAGGGCCCGGCAGCGCCGCGCACGCATGCGCCGTCAGAGGGCGCGCAGGCATGCCCCAGAGCCACGGGGGGCCAATCCTCTGGAACCATACTCTTCGATTAGCCGCAGGAGGCTGCGACTACGGCCACTGAGCCAGTGATGCCTTCCTGCAGGGCTGCGGCTCGCGGCCTCGCTCGAGCGCGCAGCACGGTGCCACATCCCGTTTGGTGACGCTCGTCGTCCCGAAGGCGGCACGGGGCGGGGCCGCGCCGTGCCGTGGTGCGATGCCGCCGCGTAGTGCCGGTGGTGCCCTGCCGTCGCGCGCGGGGAGAGGCAGTACCGCACCCTGCCGAGGTGCCGTGCCATCGCGCAGTGCCATCGCGCCGTGGCGCTGTGCCGTTGTGCCGCGCCGTCGTGTGCAGGTTGGTTGTGCGTTGGCGTAGCGGTCCGCCTGGTTGGGGCGGGGTACAGCTACCAGCCGAGCATCCTGTTCAGGGTGATGGCCGAGCTCCGCTTGGTAGCCGACGGGGTCGGTCCCCCACCTGCCGGCCCTGGGGTGGGCATGTTGGGGTTGTGAGCTGGCTGGGCGGTGTCTTCGTGAAGCCCTCGTCCCCACAGGGCCCGCCCAGCAGCGCCGTACACACATGTGCCATCAGAGGGCGCGCAGCCACGCCCCAAAAACCACGGGGGGCCAATCCTCTTTCCCCTCCCCCCCGTCCTCCCTCCTCCGCCCTTTTATCTCCAAGGAGTCCCAGGCGTATTGTTTATTTGTTCTGTTGGCTGATACATTGTGGCGGAGTGGAGAGAGAGAGAGAGAGAGGGAGAGGGAGAGAACAACAAAAATACACAACAAACGAATACAGAAAGATAAAGGGACAGACCGTCTCCGAATAGCACCAAATGTCCTCCTTACCTCGGGGAGCGAAAACGGACGTAAGCATACAAACTTAGAAGTCCGCGCGGGTTTCTTGGATCCGCGCTGAACCCCCCTTCCTGGCGCGCGGAGCGCGCCAGGGGCGGCGCCGGAAGCGCCGCCAGGGGGCCCCAGCGCCGATCCAGGAAATCCGCGCGGACCTCCGACTTTGTATATGTATGCCATTTTTCGTTCCCCTATTATTGTATCGGGCATTTCTCTCTACATTCGGACTTTTTGACGGAACAAAACAAAAAGTAGTCAGAACATGCCCCAAAAATAATTATAACTAGTCAAACAATCGCACCCTTTCCACCCCCCAAGGCTGCCCCTCAGGCACCTTCTGACCCGGGTCAGTCGGGTCTTGCAGGATCCTGCAAGATCCTGCAGGTTCCTGAACCCAAACCTGGGTCAATGCCATGGATCCTGCAAAATCCTGCGCCCAAGCCCGGGTCAGTGTGGCCCTGGCCCTGCAGGATCCTGCAAAATCCGGCGCTCTGGCTGACCCCCGTTTGCATTGACCTCATTATTAGGTCGGGAATGTCAATCTACATGCGGAGTTTGGACGAAAGATAAAGCATAGCCACAACATGGGCAAACAAAGTAACAACTAGTCAAAAAATCGTCCCCTCCCCCCCCCGCAATAATAGCAAAGATACTTACAACATCGTCCCCATCCCCCCCGCACAAATAGCTAGAGATAGTCAAACATCGCCATCACCCCCCCGCAAAAATAGTTAGAGATAGTCAGAAAATCGTCCCCATCCTTCCCGCAAAAAAATTAAAACTATTCAAGCATTCGCCCCCATGCCCCCCGCAAAAAAAAGTGATAAAAAATCGCCCCATTCCCCCCCCGCAAAAATAGTTAGAGATAGTCGAAAAATCGCCCCCCCCCCCCCGCAAAAAGAGTTAGAGATAGTCAAAAAGTCGTCCCCATCCCCCCCGGAAACATACTTAGAGATAGTCAGATAATCGACTACTTCCCCCCTGGAAAAAGAGTTAAAGATAGTCAACAAGTCGTCCCCATCCCCCCGCAAAAAGAGTTAGAGATAGTCAACAAATCGTCCCCATCCCGCCACCCCTGAGGCCAGAGTCCAGCAAGGCATGAGGGTGTAAACCCGGCTTGTCTAACTGATGCTCTGGGGGAACCTGTGCTCAGGGGAGGCTGCAGCACCGCTAAAACGATGTGCTGTTTAACCGAACCTGCAGGGTGGGCCCTTTCCCGAAGCCGTGCTTCGGTGCGGATCGTCTGCGCGCCTCGTCGAAGTCGTCGTCGTCGCTGTCGTCGGCGTCGTCGTGGTCGTGGTGCGTGCTGCTCTGCCCGGGACTTGTTCCCCTCGTGCAGTGCCCACCACCACCCCCCGGACGCTGCCCCTCATCACCTCGCCGTCCTCCGGGTCCACCCGCCTCTCCGCCGCCTGCGGCGCGGCGGCCTCCGCGGGCCGCGGGGCGCCGCCGCCCGCCTCGTCGAGTATCCTGAAGGCCTCGTCCAGGCGCTCCGCCAGCTTCTCCTGCGGGGGAGGAGCAGACAAGCACTGCGGCGTAACAGACAAACTCGGGGGGAGGGGGAGGGATCCTCATCCTCATCCGCATCCTCATCCTCATCATCCTCAGCATCGTCAGCATCATCAGCATCATCAGCATCATCATCATCAGCATCATCATCATCAGCATCAGCATCATCAGCATCAGCATCAGCATCAGCATCAACATCATCATCAGCATCAGCAGCAACATCATCACCCTGGCACGTCGATTAGTGAATTGTCCGTTTTCGGATCTCGAGGGGGTGCCGCGGCCGTCATTTTCCAGGCTTGCGCCCGCCAGGGTTGGGCGCGAAATCGTTTTCACTAGACCACGTTTTGCTAAAGGGGATTATGTCCATCCCCGACAAACTTTCGGAGCTCCGACAGTCCATGTTTATGCCGCTGTCTGTTCAGTACGTAGGGCGAGAGTGGCGTCATGATGCAACTGGCTTACTGGAGTGCGTATCCGGCGGCCCTCACTTCTGCAGCCCGGGGAACAGCTGGAAAATCCTGGAAACTGTGGAGATTCCATGACATTGTGCCCCGCTGGAAGCTTTTTATGAACCGGCAACAAGGCCTCATACGTACAGGGGGTGCTGACCCGTGCCTCGCAGTTTGAGGGCGCGCTTTACGCATGGGTGCGGCCTGTCGGACCCCGATTCGGTCTCCCGCTCGAGCGGAGACACCCTCTCGACAACGCGAGCCCACACGCCTGGCACGCCAGGCAGGCCTCGCACTCCGCCTGCCCCAGCTGCAGCAGCATGCCCGTGAGCTTGGGCGCCAGCTCCGGGTAGATCTGCACGACGATGCCGTAGAGCTGCTCGCCCAGCGCCTCCATCGGTCCGGGCCGTGGGGCCCCTCGCCGGGCCGGCCGCTGGAGCCGAAGAAGGGCTGCGGGAGTTTTCCAAGCGGGTGGCGGCATGGGGGGAGGGCAGGGCCAGGGGCGCGCCGAGGAGGCAGGAGGGCCCAGATTCGAATCGACGAGTCGGATCGGCGGTCGAAATGTATCGGATCGGTGGAAGTCGGCATCCGAGTCGGGAAAAGTCGGATCGGCGGAAATCGGCAGGCTAGTAGGCCTCCAATGAGAACTCGGAGGGCAAATCAGAATCCGAAGCCGAATCGAATCGGGATCGGAAGTCACCGAACTCGAATCGAATCGAATCGAATCGGAAGATCGAAATGAGCCCTGAAGAGGGGGGCTGGGGAGAGGGGGGAGGGAGGTTCGCATTGTGGCCCGAAGCATGAGCGCGGAGGAGGGGGGGGGGGGCCCAGCGGGCGCGCGGAAAAAAGAGGAGGCCATGGGATCAGAGAGATCTCACGGCCCCAGCCATGATATCCACACACCCCTGCCAGTCCTCGCTCCCCCCGCTTCTCTGGGGGCGCCCCCGAAAGACACAGACGCGCGCGCGCTCACTGCGGCGTGACTAGGTCTGCGCCGTCTTGGGAGCCGGCGACGGCAGCTCTGAGGGGGCCCTGAGGGATGGTGCCCGAAGGATATGACATGGACCACACATTGAAACTTAACTTTTTGAGCTTCTCGTCCTGGGGGCCCTCTCTTTGAACCGCTGGTGGCAAGCCGAAGGACGGCACGAGTGGGGCCGCACGAGGACGCGGCGGCCTTGCGCGACAGCATTGCTCAGGCCGTGCGGCAGGGCACACCTTGCGCGGAAACGAGCGCGCGCTCACGCATGGCCCGTGCGCGGGCAACGCCATAGGCCATAGTTTTAGCTGGCGAAGAACGGTACATACGCATACGTCTATACTTATATGTATGGAGAAAGAAGCTCCGCCAACCGATGTGCTTCTACATCTGGACGACTCCAAAAATGGGATCCGATCAAATGGGGTCGGAAGATCGCGCTGCATTGCCGATACATCGCCGATGCTTCCGTGATGCCTTGGCGACGTCGGCGATACATCTGCGACGTCGACGTGGAGAAACTCGGGCTCCACATCGAGCCGTGGCGCCGCTGCTCCGGCGATGCGGCGCGATCCACCGGCCGCATCTGCTTCGACCTGGTCTGGGAGGCCTGGGACATCGCCCAGGTGACAGGCGAGGCACGGCGCCCGCTCGTGCACGCCAAGGTGCCCCAAGGCCCGCTTGCCTCCACGGCGGCTCCTCCACAACTGGAGCGCCCTCGGCGAGGCGCGGCTGACGGAGGCTGGGCGGCGCGCGCCCTGATACAACACAGGCACGCGCGGCTCCCCCTGCAACCCTGGGTGAGAGGCAACCAGTTGGTGGGGCAGCGCACCTGTCACGAACGCTCACACGATACGCCCTTTGGATACCAACATAAATCCATGTGCGGGTAGTTACGCCTGTGCTTCGTTCCTAACGGGGGAAGGGAGAAGAAAAGCACACAAGGAGACATCAGCACCGGGCGAGCGCGCGTTGGGCGGACTTTCATGGGAGCCGCAGCTCCGGGGTCTCGGGAGCTGCTGGATGCTGGGAGCTGCTCTGGCTCGCAGAAAACTGCAGTGGGCACGGGAGTCCGAAATCCAGCTGGTTGCATCCTGCGCTGGCTGCTCCCGTCGCCACCGAATTCGAATTGCCCCAGCAATGCCCGTGGTCTGTTGGCCACGCCTGCGCCCCGACGGCCAGGCGTCCTCAGAGCAGACCCTCCAGCCATGAAAGACTCAGAACAAACCGGTACTGGTCCCAGGGGCTTTCCCCAAGACCGGGTCTTCATACTGGGTAGTTTCCAAACGGTCTGGTGGCGCGGGAAGGGCCCAATAATGCCGAAAGTAGCAACAAACAGAAGCTCGGGACCCACTTCCCCCAGGACCCCTTGTCATCAGAATGACACCTGGCCCTCAGGCATACCAAGGGACCTCGGCTCAAGGCATGCCTCCGCCTGCGCTTGGCGCACAGCGCATGCCCTGGAGTGGTCGCGAATGGGTAAATCAACGAAGCAATGTGCGCGTAACGACCTCGGGCCTGCGGTTGGAAAGACCGCCTGCTAAGGACCCAGGCCGCCTGCGACACGAGAACTTGGCGTCCGACGCTCTGGCCAGGCCCCCGCTCACACCCCCCACCCCACCCCCACGAGGGGCGGGGGCATGGACAAAACGTGGAGCTTTGGAGCAAAGATTTGTGCCCATGCCCAGCTCTTGGAGGCAGCAGTGGGAGCCCCAGCAGGGGCGTGGACAGGGCGCCGATCGTCGAAGAACAATCACGACGGCAGGCGCTCTGAGATTTTGGGCCCCTGGGGGGCCAGGGCGGGGCCCCGAGCCACCAGAGACCTGACGAGGATGCGGTCGAGAATTCCGGGTGCCCATGCCACGAACACATCACGCCGCCGGGGGCCTGCAATCCCCCCGAGATCCGACGTCGTGCTTTCTGTCACGACGTGGTTCCCCAGAGGTCTGGACCTTTTCCCAGGGACCTGGAGTCTGCCCTGAGCACGTTTGTTCACGGCCCTTGGACCGGGTAAGGCCCCCTGACGGGGGAACACAGCGCAAACAACGTCCGCCGTGGTTCTTGTTCACGACGCGAGGACGTCAGAGCGGGGAGCGCCTTCCAGGGAGACCTTCGCATCCCTGACGTCCCATGGGGAGGCTCAGGTGATCACGGTGGGACTCTCGCGGCCCGTGAACTCCTGCAGCTTGGAGAGCTCCAGCGCGATATCGGCCAGCGGCTTCACGACGTCGAACTGGTGCTTGCCAAGGTCGCCAGCTGGACCCTCGTACTTCTCCAGGTAGAGGCGCACGGTGGCACCTGCCACGCCCGTGCCCGACAGCCGGAAGATGATGCGCGAGCCATCCTCGAAGATGAACCTGATCCCCTGATTCTTTGACACGCTCCCGTCGACGGGGTCAAGATACTCGAATACATCGTTCGTGGCGATCTTCATGCCACCTGGGGCTCCCAACTTCGCGCTTCGCGCTCCGCGAAGCGCGAATAACTTCGCGCTCTCGCGCCGCACCCCCAAAACGGAGAAAAGGAGGCCGAGGAGCAGGGGGAGAAGGAACGAGGACCGCGAAGCGCGAATAACTTCGCGCCCTCGTGGGAGCCCTTGGCCACCGATCTCCGTGCCGACCAGAGTGCCAGCCTTGTCGCCCATGATCTTCATCATCTCTTCGGCCTTGGCCTTGTCCACGCCCTCGTAGTCATAACGGGCGTAGTCCGCCACCGCACCACCAGCACAGTGTGGCGTCTGAAGTGCCTGCTACGCAGGTGTCTGGTGGGGCTTCGGGTGACGTTCCCAAGCTTGAAGCCCCGACGCGGGCGGTGTGTGATCGACCCCCGCGTGTGCTTTCGTTCCTGGGTCTCTCTGCAGCCTCAGAACGACCGCAAGACGGCACAAGACCGCTGCGAGGTGCAGCCAGCATGATTCCAGGGAGGACGCCAAAACAGTAAGGAAGCCAGTCGTTGGCCCCCAGAGCGCCTGGGTGCACTAGGAGCGCGAGAGGACAACCATGGAACAACTCAAGGATCCTTCCGAACCCGAACTGCTCCTTACTTTAGAGTCTTGACTGTGTGGCGTCAAGCAGGCCTCTGAGCTCCACAAGAAAAATAGCCTTCGACGTCTCCAGCAACCCCGAAATCATTGGGGGTCCCGACACGGTGCGGTGACAGACCGTGCGGCGACCTCGGAATCCCCAACTACCTCACCGCACAGTCCGTCACAGCACGTTTTTGGGGCCCTAGAAGCCACAGTCGCCCAAGAGATCCTCGGAGGACGACCCAAGTCCCAAAACCATGCGGTCACCCCGAATCCCCACTGACTCACCACACAGTATGGTCACCACACTGTTCTCGGGCCCACGACGGAACCAGCCCGATAATTGACTGATTCCCCAAGATAGCCCAACACCGCCCCAAGAGGCTGCAAAGGCGACTCCTGCAATTCTTGTGAGGGGTGCGCCGGAATGCACAATCCTGCGCCGTCCAGATCCAAACCATCCGCGTGTCACTGCTGCCCGCGCGCCGCTGGCGCGCGTGTCACGATGTAGGGTCCTGTAGACAGGCGGGCGTCCAATTAGGGGGGGCGAACGAGCGAGTTGCCAGTGCAGGCTCATTCGGCGAAGCGCGCGTGCCTGCGCCCGTTCGGGCAAGGCGCGTGAGGCTGTAGCCCCCCCAAAGCCTACAGAACTCTGACATCGGGCATCGGACAGCGACCTAAATCATGCACCGCGTGGGTGCCGCGGGGTGGGGACGAAACGCCCACCCCAGACGGCCCCACGATGGTCCTATATACCGAGCAGCTTCGGGAAACCTCGGCAGAAGCATCGTGCCCAAGACGGCTCCGAGAAACCAGAAGGCACCCGAAATGCCTCCAACAGGCTCCCAAGGAGGGCCAAGTAGGCTCCCGACAGGCCCCCAAATAGGTTCTCAATCAGCCTCCAGGCAAATCCCAAGAGCTTTCTCACCGCCAATGTACAGCGACGCCACGCTACAACATCGCGGCGCTGCTCCCAAGTCTGCCCGAAAATAGTGCTACTGTTATACTTAGAATGTTGGGAGAGCTTGGTGGAACCACCTCGAATGCACTTTTATGCTGCACCGACACGGTGGCGCTGCTTGCCGCAGGCAGCTGGATAGTTCCGCCCGAACTCCTTCCAGTGTGCCTCGGCCACGTCCTGGACGGTGACGAGCTTGCCCTCCTTCTGAGTCTTGGCGGCAAGGATCTGCAGCCACGCCAGCACGGCCCACATGCCGTCCTTCTCCCGGACGTGGTCAGCGCCCGTGCCGAAGGATTCCTCTCCGCAGATGAAGGGGGTGTAGGTCTTCTTATCGGGGAAGTAGTGCGTCCCGCTGTCCATGAGGTTGCCGAAGAACTTCCAGCCTGTAGGCACCTCGAAGCAATCGATGCCCTTCTTCTTCGCCACGAGGTCGACGGCCCCGGAGGTCGGCATAGATCGGGCGCACCCCTTCAGGCCAGCCTTGAACTGGGGGATGAGGTCAGAGTTGGCCACGATCATCGCCAGCGAGTCCGAGGGCGAGACGAAGAACTGGGAGCCCAAGATCATGTTGCGGTCGGCGTCGCCGTCCGCCGCGCAGCCAAATGTCGGGGGTGGGGAGGGCGTGCTGATCTTGTTGCCACCCTTGTCGAGCCCCATGGTGGCCACCAGCTCCACTGCGTACGTCAGGTTCGGGTCCGCGTGGCCGTGCCACGCCGACTCCGGGCCGCCGAAGTCCTCCTTCGGCTCCGCGTTGGTGGCCGAACCGGGCTTGGCACCGAGCTCTCCCTCCACGATCTTCTTGGCGTACGGGCCCTGCACGCCAGACATGCAGTCGTAAACCATGCTGAACTCAGGCATTGCGATCATGGCCTCCGAGGGGCAGCGTCCAGAGGGGAACCGGCTCATGGGGGGAGCATCAACCTGTCACTGGCGATCCCGCACCGAGAGATCGCCTCACCGAGAGATTGGCGATAGGCACCCGATAAGTAGCGAATCTGGGCGTTCCTGGGCGGGGTGGGGTATCGGGCCCCTATCGGCGACGAATGGGCGATCGGGGGCCGATGCGTCCCCTTCCTAAGCCTATCCACTCCTGTGATTTGTGGGGGGTGGAGTCCCGCTTTCCTTTGTTTCACTGGACTGACATGCTGACCTACAGCGCCGGCATTTGGGCCCAAGGAGCGCCTATCTCCCAGAGCAGTTGCAGCGGGGGATTGGCCGCGATAGCAGGGTATCGGTCGTTTCGATCGAACTCTCCGAGCTGTACCCACACCGACACGCCGAAGATGATAGAGGGAGCGAGCACGAGCGAGAACGAGGTTTGTAGCGGAGCTCCGTGGTTGGCCCCACGGACTCCAGGAGAGATTGCGGGACTAGCCATACCTTCTGAGCCATGGCGAGTACGAACACCTACAACAGTGCGGTGGATCCGAAGATACCGGTGCTGAAGGGCGAGACTCTGAAGGATTTCACCAGGTACAAGAGGGCGGTGCAGGCGGCCGAGCTGGGATGCGAGTCCAAGGAGCAGAAGATCGCGCTCGAGCCCAAGCTGTACCGCAACCTCCTCGGCGCGGACAACTCGATCAGAGTCCTGATCGAGCAGACGGGCCCGAAGGACTATGCCGTCGAGAAGGGCGCCGAGGTGCTGCTCAAGTTCTTTGAGGCCGAGCGCTTCGCCAAGAGCAGTTTCCGTGAGCTGCCGAAAGCCTTCGACACGCTCTTCGACCTGACGTACTTCGAGCGCAAGGGCGAATAACCGATGGCGGCATTCTGCACGGCCATGGAGGTGGCGAAGCGGAACCTAGAGGTGGACCCGGACATGAAGGTAAGCTCGCACGAACTAGGGTACCACACTCTGAAGCAAGGCAGACTCGACAAGGACGAGCGCAACCTGGTGATAGCGAGGGCAGAGAAGACATTCAATTTCACGAAGATCTCGACGACGCTCAGGAATCTCCCCCTTCGTGGTGGCAACAAGCACCGCGCTGGACGATGAACGTACACGACGGCGAGTCCGGACATCGAGACGAAGAAGACGCGCACTGTGGTGAGTTCTGGGTCCAGGACGATGACGGGTACTGGTATGAGTGGGACGACGAGCGTGGCGTCTACGCGTGTGCTGACGATGAGGACGAAGACGCGGACTGGGAAAGTAGTCATCTGTTCTACATCGAGGACGACGCCGACGCCTACCTGGCAGGAGAAGATGACGAATATCACCAGACCCTGGTCACTATGCGCGAGAGTCGACTGAAGATGAATAAGTTGCGGGCTGCCAGGGGATTCCTCAAGGGAAAAGATCGACGGTGCCGTGGACGAGAGCGCAGCAGCTGGCGGCAAGGCGGCTGGGAAGAGCTCCGGGAAGGGCAAAGGCAAGGGCAAGGACGGTGGCAAGTCCAAGGACAGACGATGCGGTAAGTGTGGCAGGATGGACCACGCCACGCCCGAGTGCCCGACTGGTGGCTCTCCTGGGAAGCCCTCCAAGGGCAAGAGCCGCGGCAAGGGATCGAAACCAGCCGATCGTCAGCGACGGCTCGGGTTCTGGGCGATGAGTGCCCTGGTCTGTGCGGTGCCGACATGTATGGACGTCAGGCACCCGAGGCGCGGCCAGGACATCGCCTTCGTGAGCGGGCAGCCCGAGAAAGATTAGGACATCCAGATGGTGAGTATGGACAGCGATCCGATCGTGCCGGACAGGCCAGAGCTCGAGGTGATGATCTCAAGCGACGTCGTGCCGCCTTCCTTGATGGATAGCGGGGCCTCGATTGCAGTGGCAGGACGCGGGTGGCTTGACCGCGTCGATGCGGAGCTCGCGAAGTATGGCCTCAAGCCAATCAAGCTGGAGGCTCACCAGAAATTCAACGGACTCGGCAGAACACGACGTGAATCAAAGCAGAAGTGGATCATCCCGGTCGGCATTGGGAAGAAGCATGTGCTGCAGGAGTACTTCGAGAACCCCTGGCGACATGGTCGGCCTGACGAGCAAGAAGGACCTCGCCGAGTGGTAGAGGAACCTCTACATGCGCGAGGACGGCCACTGGGCGGACTTCCAGGAGCTCGGGGTGCATGGCAAGGAGCTGGTGAAGCTACCTGGCGGGCATGCAGGCTTCGACCTCTTCGACTACGACCTCGAGTCGTACCAGTCGGAGCCCCTCTTCGAGAGGTTCCGGGTTGAGGAGATGCAGCCCGAGCCGGATGCATTCCTGGTCGCGGAGGCGCTGCGGGAGTTCGAGCCAGGCTTCCAGGTGAAGGATCACGCCGACTCTTGGGTCGCAGAGGCCCTGAAGAACGGCAGCAAGGGCATCTTCAAGAAAGGCACGCTCAAGCGGATCGACAAACTGATGAAGGAGTATTCGGTCATTCTCGACGTACTGCGTGACAGCCAGGAGACCTTCCCGTGGGAGTTGTTTACGAAGGAGGCTCGCTTTACTCGTGTAGCCTCGAAGGGTGGTCATGCGAACGCGACCCCCTCAGATTTGTCGGTCGGGGTTAACTTCAACGACCCCCAGATCCAGTCGGATCTCCTGATCCTGATAAAGACCTTCGAGCCCTGGATGGTCTCGGTCGCGTTCCCGTGCGCACCTTTCTTGAACGTGCAAAGAATTCATCGTGCTTAGGGCATGGGCGACCAGGTGGACGATTTGATCGAGGAGTTCAGGCCGCTGGTTGATTTTTCGGCCAAGGTTCTTCGGACTCAGCCTGAAGGCGGACGTATCGGCATCGGCGAGAACCCTCTCACGAGCCGCGCATGGAACGAGAAGCCGATCGTGGAGTTGTTGCGTTGGCACGGCGATCGACCTCCACTGTGCGAGATGGTCACGCTGCACCGGTGCATGTTCGGACTGACGGACGACTACAGGACACCGATTCGTAAGGTCACGCGCATGTTGGTGCCCAATGGCTCGTGCTTCTAGTGGTGGCTCGACCGCGCGTGCGACAAGGGCTACGAGCACGCCGACACGGCCAGACGAGGCGCGCTCTCGCGGGCTAGTGCCTGGCCGGACGACCTGGGCAAGACCCTGGTGAGTGCTGGCGTGGCGCACCGACCTGAAGAAGCTGGGTATCGGAGACGGTGTGACGAAGGTCCCGGATCAGCAGACCATGCGCACGGTGGCCAAGGAGTTCAGGCTGAGGAAGGACCTGATTGACGTGCGCGTGCTGAGGCAGAACGAGGCCGTTCCCCTACCTCGCGTAGCTGTGCGGCGCATATACGCCATGTACACTGACAAGGACGTGCTGGCCGACTTCTCCCACGCATACGCGGACGACCCGAACTTCGCGACGGTCGAGCCAGCCACGAGGTACCCAACCGACACGGTGGTCGCGATCTACGTGAAGGAGCCCAAGGTGCAGACATCCTTCCCTGCGACGGCACCTTTACTCGGCAGCCGACCGGAAGCATTCAAGCCAGACGATCGCGAAGCAGACGCAGCACATCGAGATCTACATCTCGAAGGTGAAAGCTTCGGCGACTAGCCCTTCGGACATCGCCACGGCTCAGTGGGGCGCTCTGTGGAAGATCCACCTGAACCTGAGCCACCCATCCGCCCACGCTCTGAAGCGACGCCTGAAGTCCTACGGGGTGTCGCAGAAGATGCTAGACGCAGTGGATGAGCTGGACTGCGTCGCGTGCAAGGAGCTCGGCAGGCCCAACACTACGAGGTCAGTCAACCTGAAGCTCGACGGAGTTCAACGAGAACATGTTTCTTGACGATGCCGAGGTGATTCTCTCAGATAAGACACGGTTGATGTTTATGGTGATCCTGGACGACGCGTCGAGCTTCAGGGTCATCATCCCTACTACAGCAGTGCGGTCCATCACGGGCGAGGAGAGCCTTCGCTGTTTCTCGCAAGGATGGCTCTCGTGGGCTGGCCCTCCGAAGGTGCTCTACTACGACGTAACGAAGGGCCGCATCACGCAAAAGTTCGCGGAAATCGTGAGAAAAACAACATCCTGATGAGGCTGGTCCCGGTCGAGGCGCCTCAGCTCAAAGGCAGAGTGGAACGGGCTATCGACTCCTTCAAGGACCATTCCCAGCGCCTGAACCGCGACGTGCAACTCACCAAGAGCGACGACCCATCCGTGTGGACTTCGGTGATCGCTAGCACGTGCAACAACCACATCGGGCGGAACGGCTTCACGCCATACCAGTATGTACTGGGACGATCGCCCAACGTCTGGGCCTCGCTGATCGGAGGGCGACCAGAGGCAGCTGGCAGCGCAGAGCGCACCTCTCTTCGAGGATGGCCCCAGGAGGGCCGAGCAGATTCGCGCTGCGACGAACTGGGCGTTCCTCGAACTGGACAGCGACGACGCCGTGAGAAGGGCCACGGTTGGTCGAGTTCGCCCGCCGCGCGGGCCGTTCGTGCCGGGCCAGCTGGTGTTCTACTGGCGTGAGGTGAAGCACGTGAAGTCGAAGCGGCTCCAGGGCGAGCACGGGTGGCGCGGCCCGGCCTTTGTGCTGGCGGCCGAGGGCCACACCAGGCTGCACCTCAGCTACCGTGGGGTGCCGGTGCTCGTGGCGCCCGAGCAGGTGCGGCATGCCTCTCGTGGTGAGGCCGAGATGGTGGAAAACGAAGACCTCGCCAGGCAGCTGTCGCAGTGGCGTGGAGGGCCTACCCTCCAGAAGGGCTTCGTGGACGAGCGCGGGCCTGGGCCTGACGGGAGTGGCGGCCAACATGCCAGGCGCTGCAAGAAGGACGACGGCGACTCAGACAACGAGGACGCCACGGGCGACGCGCCGGCGGCCAAGACGCCCCGGGCCGAAGCTCCACCGCCTCCCCCGAGGAGGCCCGAGGCTACTCCCAAGCGGGAGAAGCAGACGAAGGAGGAGGACGCACCTGAACCTGGAGTGCTACCCGAAGTACCACCACTACCTGGAGATGGACACGACATGCAGGACGTCAAAGCTGAACCACTACCCGGAGATGGATACAAAATGCAAGACGTCAGAGCTGAAGACATACCCGGAGATGGCCATGGCATGCCAGATGTTACGGCTAACGACCCACCTGCACCTGCTGCAGCTGGGCAGGGGCGTGCTACGGACCTAGACGCGGCTGCTGCGCCAAGTGCCTCGCAGCAACAACCTGAGCAAGAGGGGCAGCCAGAACCTGCACCACAACCTGGCCTTCGAGGGTCTCTCTAGGAACGATCTCTACCTGACGACTTCGAAGCAGATCGCGAACGACTTCGCGTGCGTTCTGAAGCTCTCAAGCAATCGTCTCCCGAGGATCGAGGACGACAAGATGGATGACGAAGTTCTCTCCCTCAAGGTGAAGAAACGCTCGAGGGGCGCATTTGTGGCAAGGAGGACTGACGCCGCGAAGAAGCAGGTTGCCCCGAAGAAAGGTCGGGAGCTTCGCAGCATCCCGCCAGAATGGAAGGCGGCATTCTTGGCGAGCGACCTGGAGGAATGGCGCAAATGGATTCAGTTATGGAGTGGCCGAGTGAAGAGGAGCTTGCGGGCGTCGAGGAGGCGGACATCCTACCCATGATGCGCGTCCGCACTGACAAAAATGAGCCGACGAGGGGCAGCCTCTCGTACGAGCAACACCCGCTGAAGGCGAAGTCGCGGAACATCGTCCCGGGCTACAAGGACAAGCAACTGCTCGCGGGCGAGCTGCAGACGAACGCGCCGACGCTCACGGACACGGCCACGGCGGTGATCACCCAGGAAGCTGCCAGCCAGCCAGGCTGGAGCCTCGAGCAGGGCGACGTAGATTCGGCATTTCTGAATGGGAGATATATCTCGACTGCTCCAGGTGCGTGTACTTCCATGTCCCCAGAGGCGGTACACCTGCGGCGCCGGAGCTGGGATGGCCGTTGGTCCCGGAAGGGGGGCATCGCGACGCCACCCTATCGCTTCCCGGGGCTTCGAGATCCAAGCTGTGCCCGGCCCTCTTCATCTTCCACGATGAGAAGGGGAAGCTGATCAGTCTGATAGGGACGCACGTCGACGACGACCTCGTCGCGGGGTCGCCCAAGTTCTTCGCGAATCAGGTGGCCAAGCTGAGGAAGGTGCACTGATGCGGCCAGTGGCAGACGGCGAAAGTGGGCTTCCACCACTGCGGGCGCTTCCTCAAGTAGAGCGACAACGGCACGATTACATGCAGCCAAGAGGAGTACACGGAGAGCATCGAGAAGATTCACATCTCGGCCGAACGTCGAAAAACAAAGGAGGCGAAGGCCACGTTGGAGGAAAGGGCGATGCTCCACAGCGGCAAGGGCCAAATCCAGTGGCTGGTCCGTTCTACGCGGATGGACTTGGCGCCCCGGCTGGTGGAAAGCCAGGCTAGGGCTCACGACAGCGACCTGACGGTGCAAGATCTGCTGGACTATAACAAGCTCGTGAGCGATGCCAAGACCGACCACGTGGACATCACCTTCTAGAAATTAGACATGGACAACATGATTGTGGTGGCAGTGGGGGACTCGAGCCACGGCAACGTGGGCAAGACGAAGACCGCTAGCCAGGAGGGCATGGTCATCTTGTTCGGGGGCAACGCCGACGATCAGTTCCTACGCGGGAGGCCTGCCAAGGTCACCCCGATGCTGTGGCGATCACGTCGCATCAAGCGGGTAGTATGGAGTACCCTGGCAGCCGAGACGATGGCAGCTCTGGAGGCGGTCGAGAATGGCGACATGCTGAGGCAGCGCCTGATGGAGTTGCACCACGGGCTGGGTTACTGGACGCACATGGACGACGTAAAGGCGATCAAGATGGTGGGGGTCACTGACTGCAAGTCGCTTTACGACCTGCTTCAGAAGCGAGGGACGGTTCCGTCCGAGAAGCGGCTGCTCATCGACATCGAGTCGCTCAGGAACGACATTGAATTCAACAGCGTGGTGAGCAAGTGGGTGAACACCAAGCAGATGCTCGCCGACTGTCTTAGCAAGCAAGACGTCCGCGCAGGCGACTACATGAGGTATGTGCTCCGGACGGGCGAATACCGTTTGACGGAGGACCCCATGGCAGAGCAGGTCATCTCTGAGCAAGGGATGGAGCTGAAGGGTCGCAGGGGCGAGTACTACCGCTCGAAGTATCCTCGTCGACATCGACCTGCTGACCAGACTTTTGTACGAGAAGGCTACCCGCACTTCGAGGACTGCATTGCGGACCTGGGGTACAATGCGCATGCGGCTCGACCTGCTCCCAAGCACTACCTCCGTTGGCGGATGATGCTGGGCCAGCGCGAGGACGACATCCACTACGAGAAGCTGAAGGATATGGTCGACTGGTCAGGGCTGGACCAGGTGGCGAAGCGTCGGAGGATTCCGACCCAAGCGCGTAAACTGCTGACGATATACGCGCGGACCAAAGAGGCTCTCGAGCGCTACGAGAAGGACTTCACGGAGACGCACAACCTGAAGAAGACGGACATGACCAAGGATATCGAGCACCACGAGAACACGAATGTAATTTCGGACGAGGGTGTACTTGTGGAGTCGGACGAGAGTCAGAATACAGACGGTACTGCAGACCTGGACGACGCGAAGGAGATCTACATGACGGACGCCGCAGGTGCTGAGACCGAGGAGATCGGAGGAGGCGCCGCTGGAGCTGGCACAACGCTGGTGGCGTGTGCGGTGTGCCGGATGGTTGTAGACCAATGCGAGTGTCAGCCGAGGACTCGCAAGAAGGCCAACCACAACGTCCCCGTCCCCAATGACGGCGATGAGTGGGTCGAGGTTCCAGGCGAGACTGAGAAGTCCAGAGAATCGACGTCCAAGGGGAAGACGACGGAATTGCCGATGGATAAGGCTCGCAAGCTACATGAGCGCTTGAAGCATGCATCCTACAAGCAGGTGGAGCACGACCTCGATGACGTGCTGGAGGACGATATCCTTGAGGCGTACCAGCTGGTGGTCGCAAGATGCAGCAAGTGCCGTCGAGCTAGTTGCGACACGGAGGATATCCCCAAGGGCAAGGGCAACGAGACAGGAAAAGGAAAGTCACGGAGTACTTGCAGAGTTGACCCAGACGGATGCATACATCCAGCGGATCAGCTCACGACTGTTGGCACCAACCAGTACAAGGAGAAGGTGCGCTGCCGCCTTTGTGACACTCTGCTCGTGGATCGAGACACGAAGCGGTGGTCCGAGGAGAAGGAGCTTCGCGCGGAGGTCAAGGCTATTCGCCTAGAGAAGCAGAAGCAGGAGCTCTTGAGCCGGTCGAGAGCACCGACGGCCGGACGATCCTCGACAAAATAAACTACTACATGACCCAGTCGCTCAAGTTATCGTGAGTGAGCGGCACCTCCATATTTACGGATGTTTTGTTTGTTGTTGAACTGAGCCAGCGTCGGCTCGTAGGCACGCTTAGTCAGAGAAAATAGTATGAGTGTGAATTGTGGGGGGTGAAGACACGCTTTCCCCTGTTTCACTGGACTCACATGCTGACCTACCGCGCCAGCGTTTGGCCCAAACAAAACGAGCGCCTATCTCCCAGAGCAGTTGCAGCGGGGGATTGGCCGCGATAGCAGGGTATCGGTCGTTTTGACCGGGTTCTTCGAGCTGTACCCACCCCAACACGCCGAAGGTGATCGAGGGAGAGAACACCAGCGAGATCGAGGACCCTTAATGTTGCCTCCCGGCTCTCGGGTCATAATTTCACTATCCCGCGCCCGTCGGGACGATCGGAGCATCTTCAGACGCCTCCCGACGAGGCGCAACTGCTGGAAGGCATCCCGAGGCTGACAAACCGCCGAGAACTGACGAAAACACCCGAACATCTCGAACCTCGAAGCCGTTCCTCCTGCCTCTCGTTCCCCCCTGAGCCTATCCCCCCCGTGGAGTTGCCGTTGAGCCTTGATCTGCTCGAAGTCGAAGCACTTCTTCAAGAGAGCCAGGTGGTCGTCCACGCAGTCGAAGACCTCGACTGTGTGGCCGCCGACCTTGTACGTGGCTGGGGACGCCAGGTCGAACACCGGCAGCTTGTCGCAGATCTTGTACTCGGTGAGCTTGGCGGTCCTGAGGGGCGACGTCAGGGGAGACCAGCTCAGGGGGGAACATCGACAATATAGGTTCCAGCTTTTCTCTCTGGCGTTTCCGTCGGTTCTCGGCGGCCTTCCAGCCTCGGGATGCCTTCCGGCGGCTACGCCTCGCCCAGAGCGCTCCGGCGGTACCCGGATCGACCCGAACGGCCGCTTGGGACGCGAGCCATAACCCGTAAACCACCAGGGGACCAGCTCAACGGAGAAACACTGGGCTTGAATCGGCGATACCTCGCCGATAGGCCCCCGATAGCAGAATCGCACGTTCCTGAGCGGGGTAAGCGATCAATGAGCGATTGGGGGTCGATACACCCCCCCTGAGCCTATCCCCCGCCCCAACGTTGCCACTGAGGTCCAGGCAACCATCAGATCAGTCATCTTCTCTGGTGACGGGCCACCGTTCTCGCAGTTGTACTTGATGCCGAAGTCGTCGTTGATGCCGCCAGGATTGTGAGAAGCGGAGCAGATGAAGCCACCGAAGGGCACGAAGCCCTTGCCATGGCACCTGATGACCGCAGAGGTCGCCGGCGTGGACAGAAGTCCGCCAGTTCCGCACCATACGGTGCTCACACCGTTCGCGAAGGCCATCTTGATGATGATCTGGATCGCCTCACTGTTCCAATAACGTCCGTCGCCGCTGACGACAAGGGTACCGCCCTCGACGGGAACTTTCATGTCCTTCAGCGTGTTGAAGACGCTCTGTACGTAGTTGGCCAAATAGTTCTCTCCCATGAAGACCTTGGATGGACGCAAGGCGTGACCCCTCTCCCTCCTCGTCCTCCTCCTCCTCCTCCTCCTCCTCCTACTCCTCCTCCTCCTCCTCCTCCTCCTCCTCCTCCTTCTGATCTCCCCAAACATCCGACGTCGTGACTTGTCACAACGTTGCTCCTGAAAGGTTTGGACCATTTGCTTGGGGCAAATTTCCCATCCACCCAGAGGCCCGCTAAAGCCCCTGGAAACAACAAACATAATCCGAACCATCCGTCCTGTTTTTCCACAGCGCGAGAATGTCAGGACTCTTCCTCGTCTTTCTACGCTTCTTGCTTCCCCATCCTTTGTGCGTCCCCCGCATCCCTTCTCCCCCCTCCTTGCCGTTGTTCCGCTGATCCACACTTCCGCTCCATACCCTTTCCTTCTTGATAACCCTTCTCATCGAACCACCACGCGTGTCGCTAGGGCGGACTAGGCGTTTCGCCTGAGACTCCCTCCCATTTATGGCGCCGAAACTTGACAATCTCTAACACGGAATCCTTTCAAAATAGTGCTCTCACCCCAACGCCGCGCATACTCGTCTGAAAAACTTCCAATCCGTATAAGGATGGAGGGGCATCGTTTTGAACAAGTAGCTCTCGTTGTAGCACCCCGCACACTCGTCTTAAACATTGTCAACAGCTACGTGGATGGAGTGGTTTCGTTTCCAAAATGCGTCTCTCGCCTTAGCGCCGCGAGCCTTCGTCCTAAAGGTTCCCAACTTGATCCAACAACTATAATAATGGACGGGGGCGTTTTCACATTGTGACTCTCGTTTGTGATGGGGCACGTTTCGACATGTGCCTTTGGCAACAATGCCGCGCACAATCGTCTTACCAACTTCCAACAGCGACACGAGTGGAGGAAGAAACCAACTTCATCGCTTCCCTCCTCCCCCCTGGCTTATGAAATCCCTGCAGTTGCACAGTCGCCAATATTCCTGTTGTGGCCGCCTCATCCTTCTGGACAAGTTCGTGCGTCCTCCTTAAAGCCTGTAGCGAGCCTGGTGAGATTCCCTCGTGTTGTCATCCTCCTCCTCCGTCTCCTCTTCTGTCCTACACCTCCTCCTCGTCCTCGTCCTCCTCCTCCCGTCCTCCCCTTCTCTCCCTCCCTTCCCTCCTCTCCTCTCATATCTTCTCCTCTACTCTTTTCTCCTCTGCTCTCCTCACTTCCTCCTCTCCCTCCCGAAACACACGGGGCCTTGGTCTTCTTCCTGAGGCCAGACGTCCCCGGCTTCTGCCCGTCGATCGGCTTCGTGGCGACGGTGGTGACCGTGAGGTCCGCGTCGATGCGACGGGGAACAGAGAAGCACTGGAGGGAGGATGAGGGGAACGAGACCGATCCTCGATCCGACCGCCGCGGGGGGGGGGGGCAGTGGGGCCAACGGTGGGAAGGGGGGGGGGGGGCGGGGCCGAGCCGGCACCACGTGGGATCCGCGGGGGGAGGCGGAGGGGGAGGAGGGCAGAGGCCCCTCGCGTGGCGAGAAAAACACACACTTTTTACAAGCGCAAGCGAGCCCCTTGGCGAAAACGCAGGAGAAGAGGGGGAGGAGAGAGGGAGGAGGAGAGGGGAGGGGGTGAAACAGGCAGCCCCAGCCCTGGGCTGCGTCGCATCAGCCTGGTCCGGCGAAAAAAGCACACGCACAGATTGCTTCGGGCGATCCCCACCCCGAGAGCGCGAGGCGGATGTCCAGGGAGCGGGGGGCCCTGGGAGTCTGGCGGCCGCTGTATGCAGTCTCGGCAT